AAAAAAAAAAAAAAAAAAAAAGATTGGCTTGAAAAGGAATCTAGCAGTTAGCTCTGGCTGGCCACAGAACACGACAATACTCATATAACCAACATGAACAACGACCACAGCCACCAAATTTAGTACAGACTACATAGTGAATATGGATTCTGGAGAAAGTTGCAGACAAAAGACATCCAACAATGTTATAACGTCAACTAAGACCTTGTGTGTACAATAACCACATTAAACCAACTATGGAGAGGTGAAAACAACTATGGAGAGGTGTACAATAACAAGGAGAAGAAAAAGAAGGCGCGGAAGGAAAGTGGAGGGAAGAAAGGCGGGAGCAGGTTGTTGACGGGGAGGGAGGGAGGGTTTAGGGCTTACGGTTAGGGAAGGAAATGCAAAGCGACAGCAGTTGCACGGCCATTCCTGGCAACAACAGCCAGAGGACACACCGGAGTAATTAAAAGAAGCAGACTGCACCACATTCACACAAGCACAAACACGCATCCAACCAACAGAGGAAGATGATACATAGTAGTAATTAAAAAAAGAAGAAGCAGAGGAGGAGGAGGCAAAGGAGGAGGAGAAGGAAAAGGAAGAAAGAACTCCACAAAAAGTGTGCGGCAACTGATTCTAACTTCTTCACCAATGTTGCCAGGCATTGAACTCAGAAGGAGTAACCTAACAATGTCGTAAAGCGTTCATCTAATGGTGTAGCAGCACGGCCATTCATCACAACAACCATCCAAGGTGCACGACGAGACGCCCAATGTGGCACCACATTCACACAAGCACAGACACAGACCCAAGTTGCAAGGGGATCAGGAGCAATAGTGGGAGAGGACACCATGAGACTGATCGAAAGAAGAAGAAGAAGAAGAAGAAGAAGAAGAGGAGGAGGAGTGGGAGGGGAAAGAATGGAAGAAAACGAACTCCACATAAAGTGTCGAGTAAATGATTCGAGCCACTTCACCACGTTTTCCGTTGAGAGGGACTGGACTCAGGAGCAGGAGACTAACGATGCCATCAAACTTTCATCGAATGGTGTGCAGAGAAATGGTCAGTATATGAAGCATAGAATAGAAAGAAGTCTGCTCACCTGTGGCAGCCTCTGTGCTATGGTCCCTGCAACTGTTCGATGACCGGTTGCAACACCAAAAGAAAAACCAATCATGAATAAGACCACCACGCCCGAGCAACAACATCAGTAAGTGGGGTTCGACAACTTTGGAAATGCAATCTCAGTCCTGGTACAGAATGAAATCATAGAAACGGATCATCAGCACCAAAGGAACCCATCATAGAAACAAGGGCTCGCACGACTTTGCTTGAATAAAAAATAATAAATAAAAAATAAAAACCTTCATGGAAATGGGACACAGAGGGAGAGTTGGGCAGGCAAAGATGGGGGTAGAGAAAGGGATAGACATAGAAGAGAGAGAAAGTAAGGACGTAGAGATAGGGACAGACTTGAACAGAGTGAGAGGGGGGGGGAAGCAGACAGAGAGAGAAAGAGAGGGAGAGAGGGAGAGGAACGGAGAGAGAGACGGAGAGAGAGACGGAGCGAGAGGAAAAAAAGTGGAGAGAGAGCGAGGTAGATAGATCCGACACGATGAGAGATGAGCAACAATGAGAAAGAAATACGCATAGAGCAAGAGGGAGATAGAGATATCGAGAGACAGTTGGCAAGTGGCAATGCAGACTTGTTTCTCATTTTAATTTGTTTGTAAAATTGATTGGACGCGCCTAAACAGCTGAATGAGGACGTCGCCCGGCCGGGCCTGCCCGGAGGGGCCACCCGGGTAAAACGGGCGGGCCAGAAAAACGCCCAGATTTTTTTATTTTTATTTTTTCGACGAAGATGGGGAAGAAGTATGGCTGCAATAGGGTATGGCGGTGGCAGTAGGGTATGGAGAAAGGCAGGGAGGAGGGGAAGAAGATGACGAGGAGATAAGAAGACCTGGGGAGAAGAAGAAGAAGAAGAAGAAGAAGAAGAAGAAGAGAGGTGAGGAGGGGAAAGATGAAAACGCGAAGGGGAGGAGGGGAAGAAGTGGAAGACGAGATGATGACGAGGAGAAAAGAAGGAGAAAAAGAAGAAGAGCGGAGAAGTAGGGGGAGGAGGACGGTCATGTTTTTTAACCTGACGTATCTCAGATCACCTGCCGAATGTCGAAGAAAAACGGCGCCTTTGTCATTGGGGCCTTCGTCGTAGCAGCTGGAGCAGGACAGCCGGGGCCTTTGTCGTAGCAGCAGCGGCAGGAAAGTCGGGGCTTTCGTCGTAGCAGCAGCGGCAGGACAGTCGGGGGCCTCGTCAGAGCAGCACCAGCTGTACACCTGACGGCGATGGCAACAGGTGACGGGGGACGGGCGACGGGCAATGGCGCAGCAGAAAGAGGTCGGCAACTGGGATCGTGTTGGGCCGTCGATCATGGAGGATCGACAGCCACAGAGCCCGTCGTCGATCCGATAAATTAAAAAAACAACGCAAGCCTACCAGGCCCGACGCTGAGGTTTTTTGGGTCGGTCGGACCCGGTAGGCCTGCACGAGTCCAGCAGCAGTCGAAAGGGGGTCCGAAACCCCCCGGCAGGAGACTCCGCTGGGGGCGGTCGGCCCCCAACCGGGTGCCCTGCCCGCCCAGGCCGCCCGGGACCTCCCCCGGGCAGCGATTTATCACCCCGGCGACCCGGTTCCCCACTCAGCTAAACACTGCATTATTTTGTTAGATGTTCGTAAAAGATTGAGTATCCCCTAAATGCCCTCTTGACAGAAGTCAAATTTACCAAATATACATCGCATTGCTCGGATTTGGCACATACCAACTGCGCATGTATAGGGGTCAATGAATCGATTCCTTTCTTGCGGGTTCTTAAGATTTCTTCAACATTTTCCCTTGCACTGCTTCTTCCAACCACTCGAAGAGACGATACAAACTACTCCACAATTAAACAAAGCAATCGCGCATGCTTGTGCACGTTTGGAGAGGGACGAAAAGTCACGAAAACCAATTACCTGCATTCTTGACGGATGGATCGGCCTCAGCGGAGAAAAGACAACCACAAAGATGGAATCTAGCGGGCCAAGGCCGTAAGGGAACCTCAGAGCAAGAGTACTTTGATGCAGTAGTTATCTCTTGCCGGCAAATCATTGTCGTCGGCTCCAAAGCAACCATCATCCCAAAATATGTGTGTGCATCTCCTGCCCTCCTCTCTGCACATCGACCCCTCTCAACCCTCACTCTCGCCAGCGATCCTCCACGTGTCATCAACTCGGATATGCTGTCCCAAAAGCCCGACATTACCTCAGGTGACTCTTTTCCTTTTTGACCACAAGAAGGATCCCTCCGCATCCAACTGAAAAAAACAACTGCAGTTGATGCCAATGCACGATGCAACGGGAATGGATTATCATCTCCTCGTACTCCGTCTCCCCTTCCTCGCCCATTGTAATCCCGCATGAAAAAGTTGGGACGACAAACCCCTCCATAAACACATTCAGCATTCGAGAGTACAACCATATCTCCACTGTGCGATCCCATGGGATTCTCCCCTCGTCGCTGCTTCTTGATTGGCATAATCGGAATGGACGTTGTTACCATGTTAATCCACGTGTCGGAGATCTCCCTCCGCTTCCTCCCCAGCCACTCTTTTGATGTGCTCTTTTCTGCCTCCTCTTGACAAAAAGAAGACACTCCCTTACCAAAACCACCTCCAATKTCCTAAGGAATATTCCCCACCACTTAGTGTCCTTGATAAACCACCTWCAATATCCACCGCTAATAGAATTTGGGCATCCGCAGCTACATCATAATTTTCCACATTCCAACACTTTCGCCTGCTCACGTCCTCAAATCTCGGTCGGTTGGTTCCCAAATGCATGAGAATCAAGAATGTTGTGGCAAAGAAGAAGAGTGAGTAGAAGAAGAAGGATCGAAATTTGATTGAAACAGTGAGGCCACTGCTTTCTGGCTAACTATCCGTAGCCCACAATTGGTCCCAGAAAACAGCGAGCAGTGCGAGCACCAATCGCACACCACCACTCAGGCTAGACCAGCTAATCATGCTGCGGCACCTCGTGGTGAGGATGTTAAGTCCTACACTCAGCAGTCCTTTCGATTCCTTTCATTTGATGCACCATCACCACAATAACACACTAGGGAAAATAGATACTCCACTCYTTCTACCGCCAAGTCCCTTGCGTGTCTGTGGATTGTCTTCATGCCAATCCAGTTAATCACGTCGTTGCATCAAGTGCTGCACAAGAAGAAGAAGAAGAAGACAGAAGGAGGAACGCCAATGACTTATTAACCTTTTTTTTAGTTAGAAAGGAGAACATTCCTTCGAGATCCTACATTCTGACTGTGTTGCACGAAATATATGTCACAACCCCTCATTTGTTATCCTTTTCTCCCTCTCTGCGTACAGTTTACCAGGCAGTTCAAAATTCAAATTGTTATTCAATCAGAAGATGCCCTTGACCATTTTTTGAACTCGTGAGTGCACCCAGATACATTGAAGGCAAGTCATAAAAACCTGACAAAGTGAAAAATGACAACGAGCACATGGTAGATTTACAACGAACATGAAAGGCTTAAACTTACTCTGTGGTGTGCAGGATAGAAGGAAATTTGATGCCATTGGGAGGTGTTGGCAGTCCATGCGGCGTACATGACACAACATTCAAGCCAAAGCATTCACATCAACTGTATGAGAGGGGAGGAGTAATGACGACGGACGTTATTTTTTCAATTGGATTTTTTAGGCTTTTATTTTCGTGCAATTCAGC